ATTTGCTGAAAAGTTCTAAGAAAACCAGGTTTACTTTTAATACCTCTTTCAAACAAAGTCTCATAAATAGGATAGGAAATGTTTCACATTTGCCCCTTGCAGTAAATATCTGGGGTGATGCTCTAAAGTACAAATTCAAGTTTACGTTGCCTTTAAATATTTAATAGGGACAAGAAAGCTCAAATAAATATTTCCATTACTATTTAATGCGAAAGCAGTGAGAACTGTATCATACCATAGTAGTATCAGTATGCATCGCTTTGTTTTGCAAAAGTATGGGTACCTTGCTGGAATAAAATTGAAACAGCCTGAATGCTTACAGCCATTCATGAGAAGCCTTGTATTTTTCCCAATAAATACAAGGCTCTTTTTCATTTATCAAGGTGGAGAGGTGGCCGGATGACTTCACAATCTCCATCTCAGCCAACCAGAGAAAGTATTCACTGATAAAAATAAAAGGCAAAATACATTGATACAAAATCAATTTTGTTCCAGCACCAATTGGCAAATCACCCATAATGCTCCACAACACTGCACCGCATAATGATGCTACAACAGTATTAGGCCATATCAGTTACTTATGGAAATAGTTAAGTTTGGACAGCTTGGCTCCAACAAACAATTTAAAAATTACAGGAAACATGGAAAGAGCATATAAGCATCACACACTACATGATTGTTAAGAAAATGATATCCTTTCTAATTTCATAGATATTCTCTACTGATGGAGGAACAAAGGTACATGAATACAGCGATTTTCACCCATAACACTGGGAAGAGCTGACAAGGCATAAAACCCATAGTTAAAGTAGAAGTAAAGTCCACTTTGTGAGTTGTACCTACAGGTAAGCCTATAATAAGGCTTACCTGTAGGTCCAGTGAATATCTCCTAAACATGCACCATTTAGGAGATATTCACACAGCATGCAACCAGTGACATCACTGGTGCATGCACTCTGTAGGGAGGGCATAGCGTGCAGACCTTCAGAGATCCATGTCGCAGCCAGGGGCTCCTCTGAGTGACATCATTGTGGCATCATTCATAGGGCCAGAGCCCAAGAACCTGGAAGGAAGATCGGATGAAGATGGTGGTGCTGGGGAGCCATGACAGTGCAGCGCTGGAGGGCTCTGTGTACAAGAAAGTCTGTCTTAATGTACTAGTATGCAGTGCATACTAGAACATTATGACCTAAACCTGCAGGAAGGTCCATTGTTTTGTTTTTTTCCAGGTAGTTTTATACCGCTTTAATTTGATCCTATTCTTATCTTGATGATGGCACGTAGATTTAAAACTATATGTGAAAATACACATTAGATTTCAAATTTAAAAAAAAAAAAAATTGAAAATAAAAAATGTGAAAAAAGGACAGCTGCTGTCACAGGTCAACAGATACAAACCCTTTACAAATATTTCATACAAAGTGCAGCGCTTATCACAACAAACATGTATAATGATAAACAGCAAAAAAAAATATGCAAGAAATGTTTCCAACGACCACAAATCCAGGAGGGCAAGCTCCAGAGGGGGAAATAAAAGAAGGAAGACACCCCAGGACTCCAGTGGAAATGAAAGTAGAGATGGCTGCTTACCAGAGATTGTTGGCTTTCAAACAAATGAAAAGCCAGGAGTGATTTTAGGGAATAAACCCCAAATATATCTGCAATGGATGATGAAACAGTCCCCTGACTCCCGACTCCACTCCAACTTCACTACCATTCCATAGAGACATATAAAATGCAAATACTCATTGTGCAGTATGTTCATATGAAATGTATTAAAATAGAAAGAAAACAACTCACATTTAAAATGGAATAAACAGGCATCAGAATGCGTCTTATCAGTCATGTATCTTTATATTTGTGAACATTTGTAATGTACAGTTTTGTTCTGTTTGTAAGATGTACTTTGCAGTGTTCTATGATTGAACAGACATCAAGCAGATTGCTAAAAGAAATGAACACGAGCAGGGATAAATCATTACTGTATGCTTGCACTGTGGCCTCACATAAGCACATGGATGTAGGCATGCATGGCAAACATGATCCCTGATCCATATCTAAAATATTGTACAGTGATGTTCAATGTGTATTGAGTGGTCTTAACTTGTTGTGCACATTGAACCTCCAAATAATGCTGCTTTTCATGTAACAAAAAAGGCAGTATATATACACAGGTATTTATTATTAGAACTACCTTACCAATCAGCAGCATATAAAATAGTGTATGTGCATTGGCCATGGCTAGAGTGGACATATGAGTGCATGCACTTTGTAACATTCTAGCACAGTGCACTATGGTTTTTCTACTTTAAATGTTTCCTTTTTACAGCTGGTTTTATTTTATTAATATGCACTTTATTTAGTTTTGTTCTTACATGAGGTTTGCAGGTATAACCAATAAAAGTAAATAAATAAACCCCCAAATCACATTCACGTATATTCTAATTATATTTATTTAAATCTAAATATTATATAGAAAAAAATAAAATTTTAGGCATGCCATTGCTTAACTGATATATATTATAAATCTGGAGTGTTCACTCCATAGGAAAACACACTGGTAGAAAAAGTAACTGTACGTACTGTATGTATGTACTTGTATGTGTCCATATATCTGAAAATCCATTTGTGACTAACTGTATATAAAAACATTTTTACGTGTATGACTGCAATTAAGACCTTTTTATTACAAAATTCAGATATGTTACATCTTATGAGAAGCACATGTTAAATTGACTTCCATCAGCAGTAACTTCCAGGGGCCTTAGGGGAAACTTATGTCTGCAAAAGCAAATTTAACATAACAGTTAGGAATAATAACAGATAATTACACATTTTAATCATTTTAAATTATGTACAAACATATGCAAAAATCCATATGCAAATGGATAGAAAACTGGCTAAAAGATCGTATTTAGAGAGTAGTGGTTAATGATTCATACTCTGAATGGTCTAGGGTTGTTAGTGGTGTACCCCAAGGTTCAGTGTTGGAACCCTTACTTTTTAATATATAGTATTTATAAATGATATAGGGTCTGGGATAAAAAATACCATTTTGGGGGGGGGGGGGGCGCATGTGTGGCTTCTGATGGATCAGCCGCATGTAAGAGTAGCTCCGCTTCCTCTCTCCTTTCGGCCTGCTTCCCAGGGCCAGCGCTCCTTGATCTTCACAAAATTTTCTTCCTCTCACCCCGGGACAGTCTAGTGCATGCCATCAACCAAAAAGAAAGGCAATGGGACCACTCAAAAGTCTTTAACAACTTACCTGTTGTGGACTCAGGAGCAGTACAGCATGTCCCAAAATGGCACCATAACCCATCCCCACTGCCCCTCTCACAGGACTCAGCGGCTTCTATCCATGTACCGGACAGTGAGTACAACATGCAGCTCACCAAGGGGGATTTAGATAAAAACCTAGAGACTATGTACACCAAATTAACGTCTAAATTTCAATCTGAGATATACAAAAGCACAAATGTTCTATCCACTTGGGGCCCGTACTGACCAATTGAAAGCTAAGCATGATGAACTTAGTTTGGCCGACGGTGAGTTGTCCAGAGATCATGAGCTACTTTATACATCACTTAACCAGCTAAAGGCACAGGTAGAGGACCTGGACAACCGTAACCGCAGGAATAATTTGAGGAGTCGCAGACTACCTGAAACGGTTACCGACCTCTTTCCGTCTATGCTTAAGCTGTTTAAATCACTGCTTCCAGACAGAGAAGCTAAAGCTTTTGCCTGTGATTGTATTCATATGAGGTTTTCCCTTCAAGTTAATCGTCCCACATAATGGGATCATTTCCAGAGGTAACACCCTTCTAGGAGAGGAGATCCTTATTATATTGGGCTTGGCAGACATTGAAATGTTACCACGTCTTCTGGAATACACTATCACCTCAATAGGACAGAAGGCGTGCCAGACACAAAGTCGGTTGAAAATGGTATCATGTATGAGACGCTTAGGATAGTAATTTGCTGGTGTCCTACCTTGGGACAGTCCAATTGTATACCTGCCGATTGTATATTTGTGAAATTCCTCTTATACCTTGATGTGCAATTTTTGTTTTTTTACATTACTATTTTTGCCTGCAGGCCCAATCTAAGGAGGCTGATGCAATGCTACCCCACTCCTTTGCTACCCATGTTTATACCCAGGTCTCTTCTTTTGAAGAGTTGCTATCAATATACTCATGGTTGCCAACTGCGGAGTTCGGGCATTCCAACCCTTTGATTGTGTGTTTTTTTTTTTTCTCAGTTTTGACCAATTGGCTACCTGACCCATGGTTGAATATACCTGATGTTTAGCATATGGCTATTTTGGCCATTACTTTGTTTATAGTTTTCTATACTTTTTTTACTGTTGGTTTATATTGTATTGAAGCACTTAACATTTGGTTTAGATATACCAGTCATCTATGTCAACTGCATAGATAACCTCCATACGGAGCAAACAAAAACATTTATTTAATGAAGGGACCTATAAGCTTATTATAACACCTCTTCAGAATGTGGTCCAATTACTATAAGAGCTTACTATATCATGTATGGTCTTAGGAATGGTTAAACAAAGTCGGTTTAATTGGGTGCGGGGACGCACTGGATGCCTTCACTGCCACTGTGCTCTTACTGGGTGTCATGTGCATCCCTGTGCCTTTAAGAAGGGGTGGGCTCCCTCTAGGCACACCTGCCCTTAATTTATTCACTGCCATATCTGCTCCTACTCAGGAGACTCTGAAAATTGAGTTATGTCTGCACTATACAGTGGAGCCTTGTCATGGGCACTGCGGCTTATGCATATATTTGCAAATGTGTGCAAACAAAACCCTCTGTTTTTAACGTAAATGGTTTGCAGCCTAGCTGGTAAGTGTGCTGGGAAATATTTTGTTTGTTAGTGGCATGGAAGCAGGGACGGACTGGCAGCTCATGGGGCCCCAGGGCAATAGGGGATTATGGGGCCCCTGTGTCCTTGCCCAAACGCAAAAAAGCCTATGAAAAAGGTACCAGGGGCATCTCATGGGGCCCCCTACTGACCCCGGGCCCTCGGGCAGTGCCAGAGTTTCCAAATGGTCAGTCCGCCCCTGCTTGGAAGCAAATGTTGCCTTTATTTGTCATTGTTTATGCAACATTTGCAGAAAAATCCTTTTTTTTTTATAATATCATTGCATTTCACATGCAAAATAGGCAAATTTTAAAAAGACACATTGCAAAAACTTAGATCGGTATAAAAATCTTGAGGTTCTGCAGCTTTATAATTGTAGACTGCACAGGGATGACTTTTTAGAGGCTTGCCAAGGGGCCTCCAAATATATACAGTAGTTTAGCTTCTGCTGGAATATTAATTAAATTAAATTAAACTTAAAAGCAGTACCTCTGTACAAGCACAGACTTTTTTCCACATGTTCAACTGAAACATGATTACAATAAGCTCTGTATTGCTTTCATGTAAACATCCTAGTAATTCATTACGGAATAGCTGAGTGATTCTATTGAATAATTTCAGCTCAATTCTGTTTTTTTCTCCCCTGAAAACAATTTTAAGAGCCATGTCCATTTCTAGGGCAGCTGAACACATGAACAAATGTTTTAAATGAGAAGAGCAGAAGAGGTTTCTGCTGATGTAAAGTGGAGCATTCAAGGTTAGCCAGCTGGCTAAACTATAACTGGACAATTACTTTTAATACAACCACCATTCACTTTCTACCGAATTGATTTAAAATACTTGCTTCATGTACTCTAAATGGCATTTCAGTATGTTGTTTTGACAGAATAATTTTCTTCGACTGTATGGAGCCACATTTAATGTCCTGCATATGGGATTGAAGGCATTGAGAATGCACTCACATATACATAAGTAATATAACATCTTACAATATGTTCTCTTCCTGTTGCCTATAATCACAGTTTGAGGCTAAAGTCATAAAGCAGCTAGAATTGAATTTATTTTTAGCTTGTCGAGTCAGTCTGGTAGTAGAAAACAGCAAACTATACTCACGCAGTGCTGGGAAGTTTTCTTTTTCTACAGGTTATATTTATTTATTTCAGGTACTTATATAGTGCCGTCAATTGACGCAGTGCTTTACATATATATTGTACATTCACATCAGTCCCTAACCCTCAAGGGGCGTACAATCTAAGGTTCCTTACTTGCATTCATATACAAGGGCCAATTTGGACAGGATCCAATTAACCTACCAGCATGTCTTTGGAGTGTGGGAGGAAACCGGAATACCCTGAGGAAACCCACACAGGCACAGGGAGAATAAAATAATAATAATGAAGATAACAAATAACAGTAGCAAGTGACAATACCTTATGCAGACCAAATTTTGAGAGGTCTAGCCACTTGCACCATTTGGAGCATTTATAGTAAAACATTCAGCTATGATTTAAAGGAAAAATTAAAATGAATGATCTAATTGTCTTCTATGAGATACAACACCTTCAGTTTTCTTTGCATTATGTTTATAAATTTTAACCACCATATAAATGTAATTTTCTGTAATACAATTACAGGTTTTTACAAATCATTACATTATTAAATAAATATGTTCCCTGCCCATTCAGGGCAAAGAAACAGGTTTTTCTTTGATCCCCACGCCCAACAGTCCTTTCTTTTGTGTCTGCTCCACTTGATTCCAGGCTTGTGGTGAGGGGTTGGGCCTTCTCGGCTGTCATGGGTGGGTATAAAATTATTCAAGAATGAACAACAGGGGAAATGTAAATATGGGCCTACATTGATTTTTACCTTCATAGACATCATTAATGATAGACATAATTAGTAGTGAGGTTTTGACATATGGATCTATAGTTTCTCTTCAAAGGATGGGTAAGGTTGTTACTGTTCTCCAGTCCTTGCACCCCCACATTTTCTGCTGTGACTGGGGTCCTCTCCCCACACCCACTGTCACAATTTAAAAATAGTGTGGCTGTATGGGGCTCCGCATCATTCATTTACGCAGATCTGTGAACGCATGAACTACAAGCATCATCTGCCACTGCGGCAGATGGCTTTTAGTTCCCAATAAACTGCGATGGTGTTGATAAGTGCTCTCATTGTTCATTAACTCTTCCTGAAAATCAGTAACTGTCTGCCTGTATGGAACGTACAGGCAGACAGCTACTGTATGAGTTTCTGCAGGAGCTTGACATTGCACAAGCAATCCACTGATAGCGGGTGCAATGCTTTACAGGTTGCAGTGTAAAACAAATAATAAATGCACATTATTTAACCTGAAAAATCATGTGCATTTATTATTTTTTTACTAAAGGAGAAATTGTCCTTTAATTATGCCTGTATCACATAATCAAAAAATAGGTGGCAAGTCAAAAAGTTTACATAAAGGTATTTTAACCATGTATTTAGTTGTTTTTTCTGGAGTTTAAATCACTCTATTAGTAGGGTTAAATAAACTATATATACAGTACTAAGAACAAATATAGGCAGTTTGCTTTGCACAGGAGTTTTGATTTTGCAAGGGAATCTTCCGTTAACTCAGCGAATGTGGTGAAAATACATTGAGCAGGTATGTCAGAGCATGTAACTCAATCCATGTGACAAGGCTGGGTTAATCAGCACAGTCACACAGCGAGACCATAGTCCTGTGTAAGCTGGGACTCATTTCATAGTTTACACTGAGCTTTCCCATCACTCTGGATGGCTGAAAAGTGCAGTGGGAGAGCGACAAAAGGTATTTGTGTGCTATGGAGTTCTGCTTAACCTGCTGCTTTTACCTGCATGGACAAAGCACAGATTCACTTTAAGAAAACATATACATGTGAGTTTTTTTATTATAAATAAAAAGCACCCAGCCCTTACAGGCCAGCCTGTGTCTCTGCAGTGTGTGTTTCACCTCTGGCTCCTGTTTCATGGTCCGACCTGTGCCTCTGCAGTGTGTGCCTTATCACCCGCTCCAGCCTCACATTCCAGCCTGTGTCTCTGCAGTGCATGCTTCATTGCCAGCTCCAGCCTCAAAGTCCATCCTGTGCCTCTGCAGAGTGGCAATAGGGAGGCCATAAGCCACCACCTGGAGATGTGCGGGGAGAGGTTTGGGGTGTATCGGGCCAATACCCAGAGCTGGAGCCCCTGCAGCCTGTCAGGCAGAGAATGTGTGTATGTCACCTGCTGGTCTGGAGATCAGAGATTCAGAGTACTGAGTGGATCTGGATTGCCGAGCGTTGCTGAGAGTTATGTATAGCCGAGCGTTGTGTCAGCCTGGTGTCAGTTTTTACTATTTATATTCTAAAGAGGCCTACAACTCCCATCAGGCTTACTGGAACCAAGTCTACCAATCAGGTCATCTCCTGCCTTTACCTGCTGCTTCCATAGGCAAGTCCCTGGCTTTGGCATATCCTTTCTTTTCTTCTAGATTTGGCAGAACAGATGGCAGAACAGATGACAGCTGCCACATTGTAGCTGAATTAGCATTTTTTCAGCACGCTCCTCACCATCAGAGCCCCGGCTGGGAGAATCTGGCTGAACTAGTAGGAGACTCCACAGAGAAGTATAAAGAACCTGAGTGCTATGTAGCCAGTTGTGCTGTAGGTCAGAGAGGGGTCTACCTACCTGGGAGCCCAAGGAGAAGCTGGCAGGCCATTTCCAGGAAGTCTTAGCTTGCCAGTGTGGGGAAGAAGCAATTCCAACTATATGGCTTTCTAAATCTTTATGGTCAGCAGCCAGAACATTGACAAGGACACTTTGGTTACCTAATGCAGTTTTTTTCACAATTTCTACAGAGATACTTAGAGGATATGCACGGTTTGTGTTGGGGGAAGATGGGCACACAGTATGGACAACAGATGTTTTCACGTGGACAGGAGAGATCAGCATCCTATTCTCAAGTGAAACACTTTTCACATGATAACAAGCAGGGCCCTCACCCTTAGTAGCAGCAAACACGATTACAGTTTCAGTATAGTCAGCAGCAATTATTCCTTCAGGCTGATAGCCAATATCTGACTTATTTGTCCCAGTGTCCTTCCAGCTGGCCTGTGCAGCCCAATTCCACCCTAAAGCAGCAGTTTCAATTTCTTACACCTTATAGTCAGCAACAGCAACTGGATCCTCTCACAAAGCAGCAAATAGCTTCTCAGTTTTACAATCATTATCTGATTTCTTTGTCCATGTCTTCTAGCAATCCTGTGCAGTCTAATTTAAGTCAACAGCAACAGTCCCCATCTCTTGCACCGTGCATAGGGCAACAGCAGTTGTATCCCCCCACCAGTCTGCAAAGTCAGTTATATATTCAACATGATCCGCAGTGCTCAACTTTATTGAAGCTAGGATCGCCTTCATCCTTTTCAATATCAGGTGCACGGCAGGGGAATAGCTATTTTAAGCAATGCTTCCATTCACCACAGCAAAGGACAGAGGTACGGTGGAAGAAAAGGAGATTTAAACCAAATTTTCCCTCCATTATCATGGGGAATGTGAGATCTTTGGAAAATAAGGTGGATGAACTAATGGTGTTAGTTCAGAGACAACGAGAGCTTCATGAGTGTAGCATTATGTGTTTTTCAGAAACATGGTTGCACAAAGATATTCACGATCACAATGTTACCATAAGTGGTTTCCAGATTGTTAGAGCAGACGGGGGGGACTGCACAATTAGTGGTAAGAGGAAGGGAGGGGTGGCTTGTTATTTTTGTAAAGAATAGAACCTGGTCACATAACTATTAAGAAAAGTGTCTGTTGCCCAGAGAGAGAATTATCAGTTGTAGGGCTTACTACTTGGCCAGATTTCACATGTTTATCGTTGTGGCAGTGTATAATTATCAGTTGTAGGGCCTTACTACTTGGCCAGATTTCACATGTTATCGTTGTGGCAGTGTATATTCTACCTTCTGCCAATGCAACGTTGGCAAGTGATGCCATCTACAGTGTTTTTGCAAAACTTCAAACTAAACATCCTAATGCCCTTATCATAATCTCAGGTGATTTTAATTATGTCACCATGGAGAAAACATTGACTAACATTGAGTAACATTGAGTAAGACCTTGGTTCTGCTGTGTGCCAATGTGGACAATGCATACAACTCTTCTCCTCTTACACCTTTGGGCAGATCAGATCATAATTTGGTCAACCTCAGTCCTTGTTATGTGCACCTGGTTAAGAGACAACCTGTGACCACCAGATTGGTAAAAAGGTCTCGGGAGTCCCTTAAATAATTGCGGGGCTTTTTTGAGGGGATAGATTGGAATACACTCTGTGAGCTACATGGATGAGACATTGATGG